GAGGAAGAGTGGGATAACGAAGGAAGCAAGCGACATTGCGGACCGTGCGCATATTCGTTTCTCTTTTTTTTCTCCTTTTTTTTTTCCGTTTCCGTGCTCGCGCGCGTGGTGGGTAGAGTGGGGGTGGGGCTCGGGGCATCAGTCGGAGGGGTGGGTGGGCGAAGGCGTGCCGAACCGCTCCCGCCTGAGCGGCGGCGGCGGCACGACCCGGCAATTGGGGGCGCCCGTGCGGCGGCGGGCGACGACGAACACCGCGCAGTGTTGGGTCGAACAACTGCCAAATTCAACGGGTGATGGCAACAGGAGAAAAAAGAGGAGAGGGGAAATATAAATGCTACGAAAAAAAAAAAGGTTTTTTTTATAAAAAAAAAAGCAGGACAATAAACAACCCCACAGACAAACGCTGGGAGGAAAAAAAAACACAGCAACCAAAACAATAAAACAACAACAACAAAAAAATGACATTAAGCGAATAGCGGCAACAGCCACATCGACGAAAAAGAGAGGGAGGGGTGGGGAAGGCGAGAAAAAGAAAAGGAAAAAAACAACCAAAGCAAAAACAAAACAAAAAAGTCTACCTACCAATGTATAACTCAATAGAAGACGGCAAATGAAACGCAAATAAAGAGACGAAATAAAAAAAAACAAAGAAAAACTCAATGGGAGAAGGCAGGGCGGTAGGGGTGGAGGTGCAGCCGAAAGGGGCTGCGAAGCAAAAGAGCTCATTTATTTTACCTACACACGTATTCACGTGTGTGCCTACGGGGCGTAGGCGTAAGTAACCATGGGGTGTCTCTGAGGATGGACACACTCGGGGGAGGGGAGCGAGGAGGGCGGGGCGGGGAGGTGAATGCAGCGCCGTAATGCTGGGTAGATAACCATAAGCAAAACAAAAACGAAAAAGAAACATACCAAGCAAACAAACAAAAAAGGACTACAGGAGGAGAGGGAGGGGGTGGCTGTGAAAAGTACCGTTGAAAATACGGAGTGTTATGTCTGAAGAATGTTATGTACACATCTGCCGATAAAAAGAACGAGCCGGAAAGTGTCAAGTAAAGGCACTGTAGAATGAAAGCGTGGGTGAAACACAAACCTTGGGAGAAGCGAATTCAAAGCCTGCGCCCTTTTTTTTTCGTTGGTGTTGTCCTTTTTGTTCTGCCTTTTCCGTGTGTGGGTGGGCGGCCGGGAATGTTTCGCGATGCGAAGTAATGTCTACACACACACTGGCAAACACGACAACTGCAAAGAGCTGGGTGGTAGTTTAAAGCAGAGGAGGAGGCAACACGACGGCAATGGGGGCCCGAACTTGTGCGGATACCTGCCGTACACGCATACACACGTACTTGCTCGCGCGCATTTGAAACAGTCACGCATTTGGTTTTGGGGTGGGAGAGGCGACAAGAGAAGGGGTGGAGGTTTGTCGTGCAAAGGCTCACTTACAAGTGGCGTCCCACTGGGCTGGGAAGAGCATTGAAGCAGAAAAAAAAAAACACTCACACAAACGCCTACATATGCACAAAACAGGGAAAATCCATTTGTACATATATATATATATATATAATTACGTTTTATGTGCAATAGATGTACGCAATGTACACGTGCACAGGGAGGGGGAGAGCGAGAACGAGATGCACGGACGATATAAACTGCGAAGAAAAAAAGGAAGAAGAAATGGAAACAACAGTCACTTTCACTAAGGGAGATGGTTTTTTTCTTCTTTTCTCCCTTCTACATTTTTTTTGTATTTAGTTTGAAAAACGGGAAAAACAAGTTTTTTTTATTACAAGAATGAATCTGGGAGGGACTTGCACTCTTACGTGCACCTTCCCCCGTTATACCTCTGCTTCTTGTCTGTGGTGGCTCCTCATGTCGATACTTCGCATGGTGCCTCTCTACGCGAAAGGGCGGCATCAATCACGTGCAATAAGGTGGGATGTGGGTGGGGGACATAAATGCGGCTACGAAGCCA